CGACCAGACCAAAAAAAAAAAAAGAATCCCGTGGATTTTCTTTCTTTTTCTTTTTGGTTGTGGGGCTTGAACTCAAGGCCTGGGCGCTGTTCCTGAGCTTCTTTTTGTTCAAGGCTAGCGCTCTACCACTTGAGCCACAGCACTTCCGGCTTTTTCTGAGTACTTTTTTTTTTTTTTTGTCAGTTGGGGGGTTGGACTCTAGGCCTAGGTACTATCCCTGAGCTCTTCAGCTCAAGGCTAGCACTCTACCACTTGAGCCATAGTGCCACTTCCAATCTTTTCTGTTTATGTGGTGCTGAAGAATCGAACCTAGGGCTCCATGCATGAGAGGCAAGCACTCTACCACTGAGCCACCTTCCCATCCCCATGAGTAGTTTATTATAGATAAGAATCACATGGATTTTCCTACCTAGATGGCCTCCAAAATACATCCTGTAGTGAATAAGTCTTACCAGAGCTTATACAACTCAACCACAAATAAATTGGTTCATGTTGTCACACAAGTGTTCTGAGCCAGGAAGATGCTCAGTACTGAGTCTTGAAGTAAGGGTCTGAGTCCTGTCCCTTTACTATTTGCCGAAGGCTGATGGTCTACAACTTAAGCTACACCTCACTTCTGACTTTCTTAGTTAACTGGAGTAGAGAGTCCCACTGGCTTTCCCATCTGGGCTGGCTTCACACCTTATCCTCATCGAGTAGCTAGGATTACAGGTGTGAACCACCACCTCCTGGCTTCTAGTTATCTTTTGAGATAGGGTTTTGCTTTTTGCCTAGGCCATCTTGAACTTTGACTATTGCGAGCTGATTAATAGGCATATACAACTACACCTAGATATTGATTGAGATAGGAGTCTCATGAATTCTTTGGCCCAACCTCAAACTACAATCCTCCCATTCTCAGCCTCTTAAATAGCTATGATTACAGGTGTGAGTCACTGGTACCCAGTTAACATTTTGTATGTATCATGACCATTAGTTATTTTACATCGGTGGTAATTCAATTTTTGGTATATGTATATGCCAGCCCTGGGGCTTGAATTTAGGGTCTGGGCACTGTATTATCTCCAAACTTTTTCACATAAAGTTGATGCTCAAGCACTTGAACCACAGCTTTACTACCAGCTTGGAGATAAGAGTCTCATGGAGTTTTTTGCCCTGGCTAGCTTCAAATTGCAGTCCTCAGATCTCAACTTTCTGATTAGCTAGGATTATAGATGTGAGCCACCAGCGCCAGGCTTCATTTTCATTTTTCTTGTGGTGTTGGAAGTTGAAGCCAGGACCTCACACATGCTGGGCAAGTGTTCTACCACTGAATATTTTTGCTCTTTAATAAAAACCCTCCAAAACTTGACTTTTTTTTCTTTTTTGGTCGTGGGGCTTGAACTTGGCCTGAGATCTTCAGCTCAAGGCTAGCACTCTACCACTTGAGCCACAGCACCACTTTCAGTTTTCTAGTGGTTTATTGGAGGTAAGAGTCTCACGGACTTTCCTGCCTGGGCTGGCTTTGAATCATGATCCTCAGATCTCAGCCTCCTGATTACAGGCATGAGCCACTGTCCAGCTCTCCAAAACTTTTTGAGCACTAGGAAAATGATGCTCTAAAAGCTTTGGGTTTTGGATGGTGGTTGTGATTTATGCCCATTATTCCAGTCACTCAGGAAGGTGAAGTAGGAGCAGCACAGGCTGGCCTAGGCAAAAGGTTGAGATCCTATCTGAAAAGTAAATGCAAACAAAAAGGGCTGGAGATGTGGCTCAAATGGTAGCTTGTAAGGGCTTGAGTTCACCAGTACTGCCAAAAAGCTTCAGATTTTAGAACATTTTATATGATCTAGTTAGGTTTGTTTACCTGGTCGGCTGTATGTAGATATTTCCAAGTCTGAAAACCTCAATACTTTTGGAAATCTCAAGAATTTTGGTTGTTACTGGTGGTACCAGGGCTTAAACTCAGAGCATGTGCTTACTCTCTTTCACTTATGGCTGGTGCTCTACTAATTGAGCCATATCCTTAGTTTCATATTTTGCTGGTTAATTGCAGATAGAGTCTCCTGGACTTTTCTGCCAAAGCTGCCTTTGAACTATGATTCTTAGGTCTGAGCCTCCTCAGTAGTTTAGGATTATAGATGTGATCCTCCTGTGTTGAGCTTCAGAAATTATTAGTCATGGCGCCAGTCATTTTATAAAAGATATTCCAACTTGCATGTATGGTTTCTGAGGAATTATCTAAAGCTAGAAAAAATCCTTTTTACCTTTTTGCTTTGGTTCCTTGTTGTATTTTCTTTTCAGTTAACTGACAATTGTTATAAAATAATGGTGTTTCTTTGTGCAATCCTTTCAGCTGAACTGCCCTTAATTGACCTAATGAAGTTGTATGAAGGTGCCTTTCTGCCAAGTTTTCAGTGGCCACAACCTGAACCTGATTGTGAAGAGACAAGTGGAGAAGAGGGTATGTTTCTAGTATTTTTCTAGTATTATAAAGATGCAGGGTTTGAATTGGGAACTAGTGGTTCACACCAGTGATCCTAGTTAGTTACTCAGGAGGCTGAGACTGAAGCTCAGTTCAAAACCAGTCTGGGAAGACAAATCAGACTCTGACCTTTATTTACCCAGAAGCCAGAGTGGAGGTGTAGCTCAAATGAATAAGAGTGCCAGTCTTGTGCGAAAAAGCTCCTACATTTTAAAACAAGGAGGAAGTTTGCTGAAGGGCCCTGAAATTTGGGATGGGGGTCCTTCAGCACTTGTCTTGTCCCTGCTTACATGCACATGTGTCCAACAATAAGAACAAGTAGAGCTGGGCACCGGTGGCTCACGCATGTAATCCTAGCTATTCAGGAGGTTGAGATCTGAGGATTGCTTGTGGTTCAAAGCCAGCCCAGGCAGGAAAGTCCGTGAGACACTTTTTTTTTTTTGTCGGTCGTGTGTCTTGAACTCTGGGCCTGGGCGCTGTCCCTCAGCTCTTCAGCTCAAGGCTAGCGCTCTACCACTTGAGCCACAGCACCACTTCCTATGAGACTCTTACCTCCAATTAACCACCAGAAAACTGGAAGTGGTACTGTGGCTCAAGTGGTAGAACACTCGCCTTGAGCTGCAGAGCTCAGACAGCACTCAGACCCAGATTTCAAGCCTCACAACTAACAAAAAAAAAGGGCAGCGGGGGAGAGGGGGAGCTCAGTGGTAGACTGCTTGCCTTGCATGCATGAGGCCCTGGCTTCGATTCCTCAGCACCACATAAGCAAAAAAAGCCGGAAGTGGCGCCTTGAGCTGAAGAGCTGACAAACAGTGCCCAGGCCCAGAGTTCAGTCCCCACCACTGACAGGGAAAAAAAAAAAACAAGTAAAATAAGAAGAGAAGTAGACTATGTATTTCCTATATCTATCTGGAATGGCTAATGAAAAGCAAACTCAACTATGTCAAATGTATTCAACTAACATAGCATAGCTCCCAAAACATGATAAAAACCTAACGTTTATAAAACAATGGCTGTTAGACATCTAGAGAAAAACATGATCATAGCCTGCACAACTTTATCCAATGCTCTGATAAATATGCCAAGTTAGCCAGAGCATAGAATTTAAAGTTTATTCAAAAAGTTCATTTTATTCAAGTGTTTATTTTCCTTTTAGTTTGATGAAGGGGAAAACTGGAAAATAATTTAATTTTAAGCTTTCACCCCTAGTTATTTAGCTTTCATTTTCAAACCTGATTGTATGTGTGTGTGTGTGAGAGAGAGAGAGAGAGAGAGAGAGAGAGAAAGAGAAGCAAGGAAGAAAAAGAAGGAGAGGAAGGAAGGAAGGAAATAGAACTCCGGGCCAGGGAATTTTCCCTTAGTTTTTTCAGTCAAGGCTGGCACTCTATCATTTGAGCCACACCTCCACTTTTTCTAGAGTGGTGGAGGGGAGATTTCTTCTTAGATACTTTCTATCCATTATTCTAGCTCTTAAATGTCATAGAGGACTTTCCCAAATACCAAGCTATTGAGGCTATCCAGAGTGGTCTATTTTTTTTGGGGGGGTCCAGTCGTGGGGCCTGAACTCTGGGCTCTGTCCCTCAGCTCTTCAGCTCAAGGCTAGCGCTCTACCACTTGAGCCACAGTGCTACTTCCGGCTTTTTCTGCTTATGTGGTACTGAGGAATCGAACCCAGGGCCTCATGTATGCAAGGCAAGCATCAAGAGTGGTCTTAAATGTAATATTTCATAGGGGTTCTTGTTCATTTATCCAGGTAGTTATATAAAATGGATTACAAAGGAAAAGTTTTGTTGGTCTTCTCTCTTTTGTTGGTTGTGGGGCTTGAACTCAGGGCCTGAGGAATGTCCCTGAACTCTTTTGCTCAAGGCTAGTGCTCTACCACTTTGAGTTATAGTGCCACTTCCAGTTTTTGGGTGGTTAATTGGAGATAAGTCTCATGAGGACTTTTCTGCCCTGGCAGACTTTGAGCTATTATCCTCAGATCTTAGCCTCCTAAGTAGGTAGGATTACAGGTTTGAGTCACCGGTGTCTGGCTTGAAGTATTCGTATTTTCTGTTTTTTTTCATTCTTTTCATGTTCCATTTTTTTCTATTGATGTTCTAGATATGGAAGAGTGTCTGAGTGACCGGGAGAGCCAGAGGGCTTCGGTTCTCATAGACTCCCTCTTTATTATGGATCAGTTTAAAGCCACAGAAAGAGTGAACCTTGGAAAACCTAACACCAAGGACATTGCAGAAGTCACAGCTGTGGCTGAAGCTGTCCTGCCCAAGGGCAGTGCCCGGGTCACAACTGCGGTGAGGCATGGGGTCATTGTGTGCAAATTGTACGAGGAAAGCTTTCTATTCCAAATAGGCTCTTTGTCCCAACTGCAGAAGTTCCCAAAAATGGCCTCATCATTTGTAACTGGCCAACAGTAATACCATTTGACTCTTTTGATTTCAGCTTGAGAAAGAATTTTTGCTCATTATTTTGACAAGTAATTCTTTGGCTGGTCTGTCACTACAGGTGAAGTTTAATGCACCATCTTTATTGTATGGTGCACTCCGAGATTATCAGAAGATTGGCCTGGATTGGTTGGCCAAACTCTATAGGAAGAATCTGAATGGCATATTGGCAGATGAGGCTGGGCTTGGTAAAACAGTGCAGATTATTGCTTTTTTTGCCCACCTTGCCTGTAATGAAGGTAAGAGATTTGTATTTTTGGACAATACATCTGTGCTAAGATTTCACATAGGCTGTATAAGGGTGAGGACTCGGCCTTCTCACCTTCTCTTGGCCCCTGTCCTTTGACCAGAGCCAGAATATGGGCTCAAATGTCCATTGCAAGTGAGGCATCTGTGGCTTGTGCCTGAAATCCTAACTGCTCAGGTGGTTGAGTTCCAAAAGATTGTTGTTCAGAGATAGCTAGGGCAGAAAAGTCCTCAAGACTGCATCTTTAATTAACTGGCAAAACGTAGTGCTGAAGGCATGATGCAAATGGTAGCGTGCCAGCTGAGTAAACAAGCTGAGCAAGTGAGGCTCTGAATTGAAGTACTAGTGAAACAAAACAAAAACTCATTGTAGCCAGATGTAGTATATGAATGGCTGTATTCCCAGTACTGAAGAGGCTGAGTAAGACAGAAGTATCCCTGGAAAACATAATCAGACACTGTCTTAAAAATAGAGAACACAAAAATATTTGTTGCATAACAGCTAAAACATCATAATTAACATTAGGTGAAATGACTCACTGTTATTCAAAAATTAATACAAAGCCATGCCAGCCTGCAACTGAGCTTTCTAACTTGGGTGTCACACACAGCTTGTGAGCAGCAGAGCAGATGCATGGTTTCCAGAATATGCTAGTCTCCTCTTCTTCCTCCTCCTCTTCTCTTCCTCTACTTCCCCTTCTCTCCTTTTCCTCCTTTTAAAAATGCTTATTTAAAAAAAAATTATTATAAAGGTGACATGCAGAGGGGTCACAGATAACGTTAAGTAAGTCGGATAAAGAGAACATCTCTTTTTTTGATAGTGTCACTCCTTCCCTCATTCTCTGTTTGTCCCGCCCATCTCCACCCACAAGTGTTGTCTGGTAAATACCACTGCTGCATTTGTTCACCCTTTGTCCCTCCTTTTCTATACGCTCCTTACTCTCCCAAAAACAGATAAGTGAACAAACAAAGCAGAAATAAAAAGAGAAAAAGACAAAAAACAAAGAAAAAAACTAATTTCCATTTTATTTTGAAAAATATATGATCAGAGGCCCATAGGCCTTGTACCTTTGTGTGCCTCACCTAAGAGCATCTTCCTTTGGTCTCACTGTGTGAGACACCTAGAGTCCTGTGTAATAACATGTCCCAGTGTATTTTAAATCTAGCTTCTGCATATGAGAGAAACTTGCACCAATTGACTCTGAGTTTTCCTTTTCTTCCTCTTTTTCTCCCCCTCTTTCTCTTCTTCTTCCTTCTCTCCCTCCCTCCTCTTTTGTGGGAACAGGATTCTTTTGAGAGGGATGTTGAGCTCAGGACTTTGCACTTACGAGATTGGCATACCACCACTTTATGTCACAGGTCCAGCACTTTAGATACTTTTTGTATAGGGTCTCATGGGTTTTTTGTTTATTTGTTTACATGTGGCCAGCTTCAGACTGCTATCTACCTACTTAAGATTCTCACCTACCCAAGACTACAGTAACAAACCACCATGCCCAGACCTAATCACAAACTCTTGAATCACTTGGTTTGTACAACCTATGGTATCCACCATTGTACCCAAGGCTTTCTTGTGCTGTTATATACATATCCCCCTTGCCTCTCCTGCTGAGTTCTGCCTTTCTGAGCAGCATTTCTATCTTTTTTTTAAGTACATTTTTATTTTTTTTGAGTAGTTATACAAAGGAATTGCCATTCAGCAGAGCAGTTTGTGAATACAGTGCCTCTTGATCTATGTTACCCCTTTTATTCTCACTCATCCCTGAGCTGATACTTTGCTCAGGTTCAGTGGGAGTGCTAGTGTACAGCATTTGTTACCTTGATGTCTGCTTTCCTTGTGTGTCACCTACTTAACTAGCTTTGCTGCTAAGACATGGTGTCGGGTGATTAGACTGGACAGATTAAGTGAAATATTCTGCCTCTTTTTGTAGGTAATTGGGGTCCCCATCTTGTTGTTGTGAGGAGCTGCAACATACTCAAATGGGAACTTGAGTTGAAACGCTGGTGTCCTGGGTTAAAAACCCTCTCCTATGTTGGCAGTCACAGGGAACTCAAAGCAAAGAGACAGGTATTTTTAATTTATTTTTATTTTTTTGTTGTATAGTAGGCCTGGCTTGATGTGGCGTGGCAGTCTGTCAGTGCTTTGCAGATGATGGCTGCCAAGAACCGCGGGAAGACAAGGGCTTCTTTCTGTGCTGCAGGAATGGGCTGAGCCCAACAGCTTCCATGTCTGCATCACGTCCTATAAGCAGTTCTTCAGGGGTTACACTGCGTTCTCCAGGGTGCGCTGGAAGTGCCTTGTCATTGATGAGATGCAGCGTGTGAAGGGCATGACTGAGAGGCACTGGGAAGCTGTTTTCACCCTGCACAGGTCAGGTCTGAATGCCACTCAAGTACTGTGTGCTGCCCACCCACCCCTAGTAATACTGCCTTGTACCCTTCACCTTTGTCACAGGGCTGAGGAGACACCCAGAGCTCCTTTGTTCAGACCCTTTCATTAACATGAGCTGCATAGAATGGCTATTGCCCCTTTTGTACACATTTCCCAGAGAGATGGACTGTGCAGAATCATGCATTTAAGATTCCAGCCTTACCTCATTGTGTTTGCAGCCAGCAGCGCCTGCTTCTGATCGATGCACCACTACATAACACCTTCCTGGAGCTCTGGACCATGGTGCACTTTCTCATCCCCGGGATCTCCAGGCCTTACCTGAGCTTTCCCCTGAAAGCCTCCAATGAAGAGAACCAAGATTACTACCATAAAGTGGTCATAAGGCTCCACAGGGTACCTGTACTTCTGTGTCTCCAGCTTACTCGCAAACATGCATGCGCCTTACTGTAAATGGGTTAGACCTCTGTGTCTCCTCCAGCTTACTCGTGAACATGCATGCGCCTTACTGTAAATGTGTTAGACCTCTGTGTCTCCAGCTTACTCGCAAACATTCATGCGCCTTACTGTAAATGGGTTAGACCTCTGTGTCTCCAGCTTACTTGTGAACATGCATGCGCCTTTCTGTAAATGGATTAGACCTCTGTGTCTCCAGCTTACTCGTGAACATGCATGTGCCTTACTGTAAATGTGTTAGACCTCTGTGTCTCCTCCAGCTTACTCGTGAACATGCATGCACCTTACTGTAAATGTGTTAGACCTCTGTGTCTGCAGCTTACTTATGAACATGCATGCGCCTTACTGTAAATGTGTTAGACCTCTGTGTCTCCAGCTTACTTATGAACATGCATGCCCCTTACTGTAAATGGGTTAGACTTCTGTGTCTCCTCCAGCTTACTCGTGAACATGCATATGCCTTACTGTAAATGTGTTAGACCTCTGTGTCTCCTCCAGCTTACTCATGAACGTGCATGTGCTTTACTATAAATGTGCTAGGGCCTTGTTTTGGGAAGAAAACAGGCATTATTTTCTCCAGGTGACACAGCCATTTATTTTGAGGAGAACTAAGAGAGATGTAGAGAAGCAGCTGACCAGAAAGTATGAGCACGTTTTGAAGTGTCGCCTTTCCAGTCGGCAGAAGGCCTTGTATGAGGATGTCATTCTACAGCCTGGGTGAGTGCTGGGCTTGCGTGTGCCCACTTGCTTGCCCCCACTCTGAGCGTTAGGTGTATTCTCTGATGTCTTGTTGGGAGCTCTTGCTTGTGAGAACCAGGTGAACAGATGGGTGCAGAACAATTGTGTGAGCATGCTTCACTGTGCACCAAGATGGGGAGCAGCTGGTGATACCTGTCAGCAGCTGGCTGTTGGCCTCACAGCACCCTGCTGCTTCTCATCTTAAGGACATGGTGTATACTTGCAGCCCTGAGAATGATGTTTATGTTTCTGAAGTTCTTATAGTCATGGGTGGCACTGTGTATTCCTCGTTTGGCCATTATTGCAGTGTGTCTCAAAAGTTTATTGGGACCTGGGTACTGGCTCAAATCTAATCCTGCTTACTCAGGAGGCTGAGATCTGGAGATCACAGTTAAGAGCCAGCCTGGCAGGAAAATCCTAAGACTTATCTCTAATTAACCATCAAAAAGCCAGAGGTGGAACTGTGGCTCAAGTAGTAGAGTGGTAGCCTTGAGCATAAAAGCTCAGGGACAGCACCTGGTCCTAAGTTCAAGCCCCAGGATTGGCATTAAAAAAAAAAAAAAGCTGGGCACTGGTAGTTTACACCTGTAATCTGTAAGCCGTAATCGTAGCTATTCCGGAGGCTGAGATCTGAGGTTTGCAGTTCAAAGCCAGCTCAGGCAGGAAAGTCCCTGAGAATCTCATCTCCAATAAACCACTCAGAAAATGGGAAGTGGTGGAGTGCTTACCTTGAGCTGAAGAGCTCAGGGACAGCGCCCAGGCCCAGAGCAGAGCTCAACCCTATGGCTGAAAAGAAAATGTTGGGTGCTGTGGTGGCTCATGCCTGTAATCCAACTTCTCAGGCTGAGATCTGAGGGTCACATTTCAAAACCAGTCTGTGCAGGAAAGTCCCATGAGACTCATCTCAAACAAACTACTCAGAAAAAGCCAGAAGTGTCACTGTGGCTCAAGTGGTAAGAGCGCTGGACTTGAGTACAAAGAGGCCCAGGAATGGCACCAGGCCCTGAGTTCAAGTTCCAGGACTGACAAGAAAATAAAATTATTGAGAAATTTAGGACAGAAATATATATGCATGCTTACTTACTTTCTAGTTTCTCCGGCAGTCCTCAACAAACCAGTGGTGTGAAACTCACCTTGTCAATTCACTGTAGAATAGGAACAATAACATACACTCATCCATAACATCATCTGTGGCTAGCCCTTCTGAATGTGGTGGGAGCCAAAGGTGCTTTGCTGTTGCCTCTGCTGTGGTGCCAGTCAGATCTCTCAGTGAAGTATTGGTGTCACTCTTTGCTGGCTTCGGTCTGGTTGATGCACAATGTCTGGTGGAGAGGGACACAGCTTCTGTGGTGGCCAGGAGCTATCACCAGCACACAGGGGAAGCATTCCTCAGTTACCTTGCATTTCTTAGCTTACCTACCAACCAGAAGCTCTGACAAGTTGTTCCTTAATGTATTGGCTTGTACTCATGGAATTAAGCATTATGTTGAGAGTTATGGTGTCTGTTATTGAGGTGTGAGAGACTTTTAGTACTAGGGCCCAGTAGGTGAAAGCAGATCTTGTTTTACTGATCTTTGGCTGATTCTGCCCCCCTAGTGGCATGGTAGGGAGAAACTTCCTATTTATGTGTGGTTTTCTTCTCTGCATATCAAGTGCTAGGGTGTGAGGTGTGCATATTCCTCCATCTTGCCTTTGGTCATTTTTTAAAGCATTGTCAGGTGCTGCCACACTGTGGGCTGTTGCTGTCTACCTCAGGTCCTCCAGGGATGCTGAATGTCCTGTCCTGGCCAGCCTTCCTTTTTGCATTGTGCCGTTGAGATAGGGCTGCTGCCCATCTAGACTCCACCCTGCTTTTGCGCTGTCTGCTCTGCTTTGTCTCTAGGCTCCTCAGGGAGCTGCATGTATGTTCTTCAGTTCCTCTTGCTATGTTCTTCTCTAGGAAGCTCCTGTCTTTCCTTTTCCTTGGTCTTTCTCCAGGAGCCTCACCCTAGGATCAGCCTTCCTACAGAGAGAACCATGACACTGTTTAAACTCCTTCCCTGAGCAGCAGATATGTCTTAAGTGATAAGAGCATCTGCTTGCAAGCCTGAGCCTTGAGCTCAAACACCCGTACTGCTAAAATAAAAGAAAGGTGTACATCATTGGCTCACACCTATAGTCCTATCTACTTGAGAGAATCATGGTTAGAAGCCAACCTGGGCAGAAAAGTTCACTAGATTATCTCCAATTAACTAGAGCTGTGCCTCAATAATAAAGCCCTATAAATGAAGAGAGCTGAATGAGAGTAAGATGCCCTTAGTTCAACACAGTACCAACGGAGCAGAAGTCAAATAACTTCCCTCCCTGTCCCTTTCCTCCATCTTTGTCCCCTCAGCCAGGCACTGTCGTTGCTCACCCTTCCTTCCTGTGCCCCAATGTGTCCCAGCACCCAAGCCACTGTGCCGGTGGCTTCAGGCGGTGAGTCTGTTGCAGCACGCCCTGGGGCAGCGTCGTCCTAGGAGACTGGCTTGTCTTGAGCTGCTCCTCTCGTAACTTTTTCCTCTTCCTGTTGTAGATATGTTTGACTTAGAAACCTTCAGTGATTCGCTCCATACCTTCTCAGGTTCCATGTTCCTTCCTGAATTTCTCCAGAGTAGGCAACCCTCACTACATATTTCTGGCTGCTGAACATGCTGTGTTCTATCCAGGCAAGCTTCTTCTCTTCCAGGAGATCCATTCCAGCTGCACCAGGGCCCAGCTGTTTGTCTGCTCGGTATCTTGTTCACCATTGTTCAGTGTAACTCCCATAGGATCAGGTGTTAGCAGCTCTATCTTGTGAGACTGGGGATGCACTTTCTGCAGTGTTTTCATCTTGCCCTTCTGCCTGGCCCGTTTCTCTCACCCTTGGAATTGTCTGCCTCTGCTCCTCCTTCAGGGTCCTCGTCACAGTGGTGGAAACTTGTTGAAAGGACAGCTCGACCATGTCTGGCCTCTGGTTCATGGCTCTCTGACAGAGTATATTTTTGCATAGGGAAGATGAGGGACACAATGGGTGAATAAAAGGCCTGTGTGGGAATGTGGACCTGAATGTTCAGCAAAACTAATGTCATGTAGTATAGGGGAACATGCCAGTGAAGCTTCTGGGGTTAGTATAGGAGATGGTAAGGAGTCAGAGTGTAAATACAGATTTGCCATTCTGCCTCAACTACCTGTCTGTTCTCCAATGAGCAGGACACAAGAAGCTCTGAAGAGCGGGCACTTTGTCAGTGTCTTGAGTGTCCTGATGCGTCTGCAACGCATCTGCAACCACCCTGGGTTGGTGGAGCCCCGGCTACCAGGATCTTCCTATGCAGCTGGCTCTCTACAGTACCGATCTGCCTCTCTTATTCTCAAGGCCCTGGAGAGAGAGTTTTGGAAGGTAAGTACAAGAAGCTAAATCACGGCTTGAGGTCTTTCCAGGCACTTGCTAGATAAAACTCAGGCATCTATACAAAGCAACTTTCAGCCCCTTTCTCCAGCCTTTCCTGACCACCATCAGACTGTTCTCAATCTGTGGACTTAACATGTTCTGGTTGCTTTATGAGAATCACATGCAGCCTTTCGTGTCTCACTTCTTTGACTTAACATATTCTTGAAGTTTACCCTGTTTTGTTTGTCAGAATGTTTGTCTGAATATCCTTTTTAAAGGCTGAAGTAAGAGTCTCTGCATATACATGAGCTTCCATTGCTCTTGGGAGTACACTAGGAAGGGAGTTGCCAGGTCACTTTGTGTCTTCCTCTTTTGAATATGCCACTGTGGTTGGGCCACCTGGCTTGCTTGCCACTTCCCACTCTCCATTCTTCACCTGCCCTGCTCTTGCCCTCCTCTTGGGGGTGGGGTTACTTTTTTGTTATCTAAAGCCCTGAGAAGCATGGACGAGTGGTACCAGGGAAGGCGGGTGCTTGCTGCTGTTAGAGGCAGAGCTATGTGTCTAGACTGGATGTCGTTGGACCAAGGGCTGTGCCCTCCAGCAGTTCTGTTCCTGTCTACTGAAACGCCCAGGATTGGCCTCCAGTGAGACTTCAAGTCTCTGAAGTGAGCCTTGCTAAAGTCATTTCTACACCAACTTCCACATGCCCCAGCTCATACAGGCTTCACCCGAGCCCTTCCCCTGCTCTCTGCATAGTGTCTAGACTTGGAGCTGCCTAAGTTCTTTCTCTAAGCTCTAGTTTGTCTCTCAGGGCTTGTTCCTCATTCTTGGGACCCTGGGGAAGACCAAATGCATTAAGCATAGGGGAGTCATGACCTGCCTAACCCAAGCAGTGTTTGTGAGCTGCCCTCCAGGGTAGAGCCTTCTCAGCTTGGCTCCCTCCTCATAGCAGCTCATGGTTCCCTCTCAGTTATTTCCTCGGCCATCTTCTATAGCACTTTTTTTTTTTTGGTTCTTTTTTCTTTTCTTTTTCTACTTAGGAAACCGATCTTTCTATATTTGATCTTATTGGGTTAGAAGATAAAATCACTCGCCATGAAGCGGAATTGTTATCTAAGAAAAAGGTGACTCGGAAACTCATGGAGGAGGTGTTTGTGTCACCACCCCCATCAACACGGCCAGCAGCAGTGAAGTTGAAGGCAAGCAGGTATGTGGGTATGAGTTAGGAGCAGCACCTGGCTGGGAGTCAGCTCCCTAGCACTTGGGGTTGGGAACTTTCCACCCCTTCAGCTGACCCTGGGCCATCAATAGTGAAGAGGAATGCTGTAATCTTAAGTAGGTTTCCCGATTCTCTCAGGAATTTTCCCTGGACAGCAAGTGTCGCTGCTGTCCAAGGAGTGCTCTTAAGCAAGCTTGTGGTTTGGGATGCACATGAGAGTTTAGTCTGCCGGCTGGTATAGCCAGGCATCTTGTTAGTGGTATGCTTGTGACAGGGTAGGCAGGGGTTTCTACTGGATTGCATCAAAGCTGTTCTCAGAATATCTCCACAGCAATGTGAAAGGATGGTTTTATGAATCTGAGAGGGATAGACATACTAGATGGTGATAGTGAGAAATACATGATTCAGGATAGACTAAGTAGACTAAGCCCTCCTGAAATGAAATGAAAGTTGGTACTTGAGATAAAAGGGGCCTGTTCTGCCGAGCGCCAGTGGCTCATCCCTATAATCCTAGCTACTCTGGAGGCGGAGATCTGAGGATTTCGGTTCAAAGCCAGATCAGGCAGGTCTATGAGACTCATCTCTAATTAATCACCAGAAAAACAGAAGTGGTGCTGTGCTCTCGTGGTAGAGCACTCGCCTTGAGCTAAAGAGCTCAGGGACAGCACCATGCCCAGAGTTCAAGTCCCATGGCCAACCAAAAAAAAAAAGCAGGGAGTGGGGAGAAGATGAGCCAGTTCAGCAGATTGATAGCCCCTTCTGACCTTAGCTTACGTGAGTATTGAAACCAGTTGTCTTCAGATTGGTGGTGGTAGGAATGGCAGCAGCAGGTTTCTGCAGACCCCCAGCCTGTCTACTTAGGAAACCTCTGACCTGATGTACCAGACAAATGGGTTCACTTGTGCTCACTGGATTTTGTTAAAAGGCTCAGTGGAGCCAGGTGCTGGTGGCTTATGCCTGTAATTCTAGCTACTCAGGAGCCTGAGATCTGAGGGCCATGGTTTGAAACCAACCCAGACAAGGGAAATCTGTGAGACCTTATCTCCAGTTAATTCCCCCCAAAAAAGCTGAGAGAAGAGGTTTGGCTCCAGTGGTAGAGTGCTAGCCTTGAGCAAAAAAGCAAAAAGCCTAAGGACAGAGCTCCGGCCCTGAGTTCAAACCCTGGGCCCAGGACCAGCACACAAAATGAGGCTCAGTGTTGTCTCTGCCTGTTGTCGTAGTGCAGTGGTTTTGAAAACCACCACTCCCGTTTTCTAGGTGAAAAAGAGCAGGCTGCACCTTGTTGGACTTGGTGTCCCCCCCTCACGCGAGTGCCTTTCCAGACCCGCTGTGCCCACCCATCCTGAGTCCGTATTTACTCAGCATGACTGTTCTGCCCATTTTGCTATTACTCTGAATTGTAGTGTGCAGATGCTACAAGCCAGAGATGTTTTTTCTAATCCACATTGATACTTTATATTAAGATTATCTTTTTTTTTTTTTTTTTTTT